TTTTATATATTTTGCAGCAGAAAGATTAATTTTTCAGAATACAGTCACCCCCACCCCCCGGCCCCAACTGGGAGCATTACCTCAAAAATGTGTGTGTAATTTCTTAGCTTTTTTTTTTTTTCTTTATAAGTACAAAAACCCAGAGGTTTAAGAAAAGGGATTGTCCACACTGTGGGTTTCATTGGAGACAGGGCAAATATTTTGGGTTATCTTTTTTGTGAGTTTGGAGTAATGTATCTTATAGACAAGCAGATATAATAATAAGACTGGTTTTTTTTCCTAACTATAGACGTTAGCCAGCATTTGATCATCAACCATTACTAAATGTAAGTCAAGCGCAGGATCTTCAGATCAGTCCTCAATAACTTGGTCCATCACCATTGTTTGCCCATAGCCTTAGCTTTAAAGAAGAGAGTAGGGAAGTATGGGGTGTCAGATAGTTAGTCACATGGACAGTGATGGTGGTGTCTCCCTGTCTTTCTCTATATTGCTTATCTTAATGAAAAGCGGTTTTAACATTGCCCCAGAACTAATAGAAACAAACTATGCTTCTCAGTATTCACACTGGATTTTAGATCAGTGTTACATAAATATCTTGATGGGGATGGAGGGTAGTGGGATGTATCAAATGTTTTCCCTTAGCCTATTCTTATCCCTGTAATAATGGTTCTATCCAAAGTTTGAAATGAAAAGTGACAGAAAAGGAAATGTTGTTCCCTCCAGGGCAGGGATTAGGCCTGTTGTTCATCTCCCCGCCTCCACCAATACCTAGTACAGGACAGCTCTCACATGATATACGTTAAAACAGCCCATGAGTGAATGGTTATTTACTTTCTAGAGATCCATTTTTTTTTTTACATTTTTTTTTTAGAGATCCATTTTAATGAGTCAAATGAAATAACTTGCCAACCCAATATAAAAACAAATGCAAATTTACCACCCTTCAAAAATAACTGAAAACAACCAGTTATTGCAAAGCAACACATTCCAGACAGTAAACAAGTTTTTACGTACATTAACTTTTTTTAGTGTTTCTAAATAAAATGTTATCTTAAAACATGGTATCTCTATACCTCACCTGCATCAAATATCTAAGTTATAACATCTTAGTGTGTTTAGAAATAAAGTTGATGTTGTTGTTGTTATTTGCCATTGAGTCGGTTCTGATTTATAGTGATCCTATGAACGAAACATTGCCCCAGTCCTGCGTCATCCTCACGATCATTGCTATGCATGTTTCAACCCATTGTCACAGCCACTGTGTCAGTCCATCTTGTTGAGGCTCGTCCTCTTTTTTGGGGTCTGACCCTCTACTTTACCAAGCAGGTAGTCTAGCAGCTAGGATTCAGTGGAGAACGCCGAGACCTGGGTTAAATTCTCAGCCAGGGAATGCTTTTCCACCACTCATCTCTCCGTTTGTCATACTGTGGTAGCTTGCATGCTGCTGTGATGCTGGAAGCTATGCCACCAGTATTTCAAATACCAGCAGGGTCACCCGTGGTGGACAGGTTTCAGAGGAGCTTCCAGACTAAGACAGACTAGAAATAAGGTAACAATATTTAAATGGCAGTTGTATAAATGCATTAAGGAAATTTAGAATTTGCACAGGTTGGTATGTAAATAAAAGAACATACAAGATTGAGTAAAACTACCAGCCAAGAGTCATGAAAAAGATGGGCTTTAGTGAGAAAGTATCTTTGTGCCTATTGAAAATATTTCTTCTCACAATGTGTTGGGCTGATAAACAAAAACCAAACTTTTAATATATCTTTTAATATCAGTCTACTATCAGTATATGTTTGACAATGTAACTTGATAGTAACATCAGTGACCATAAACATCGATGGTACAAAATTTCATAGATTTGAAATGACAGGTCATTTCCTAGAGGTAGAATAAGACTAGAGAAATACAACTCATCATTACTTATAGTTTATTAAGCACCCTCCTGTGAATGGCATTTATATTCTATAGGAACAACTCTTTGCTCTACAAGGACTAAAGCAAGAAGCTCAACATAGCTGAAGCAAAACAAAAAAACACTATATATTGGTTTTTCTATTAAAGAGGTAGAGTTGGGGGCATTATAAATTAAAACTCGGGTAGCAATAAGACATCTCATCAAAAATGATCCTCACAAAGTATTTTTTGTGCTGTGATTATCTCTGTTCTAGTTAGTTTTTTATAATAAATTCCTTGAGATCCAGGGGCAAGGGTGGGAGGGACTAGTATTTGTTGAATGCTTCCTAAATACCAGTTACTATGCTTGGGGCTGAATCCTCACAGTGGGCCTTCTCTTATGTATGAGATGCCTGAGAAAGGTTTGCCTAAGATGGCCCGGCTAATCAGGAACAGACTGAGAACTTAAACCTAAGTAAGACTCCAAAACCCATGCTCTTTCCACAGTAGTGTGCTACTTTCCCAAGAAAGAGACTTTTTTTTTCCCCTGAACACTGGATATTAACTTGATGTAGCAGCTGAGTGGAAGTATAGCCTCATATGAACCGTTACAAAACAAAATTATTTTATATATTTAGGTTGCCATAATATCATAATATAAAAGACAGAATTCTCACATCTGCTTTTTTTTTAACACTTTAATGCTTCAGTATTAAGGTATTATGCATTTAGAAAGCCCAGCATGAAACCTGGAAAACATATTTTGGGAAGAAGAAACTGCATGGTGATACATTGCCACCCTCTAGTCTTCTGTAGTCATGTCAGTTTGAAACACCAGAGATTTGCCAGCACCCCATCCACTATGCTCTGCTAACAAAATCAGACCACCTGCTGCTAAAGCAGCTGACTTCCTCAAAGCAGTTGTATACTTTAGTGTCCCTCAGGGTCCTGGGTCTGTAATGTCAGATCATTTAAAGAGTAGAGTAAGAAAAGTAACTCTGTAAAAATGGCCCTTTCTCCTTCCCCATATCTGTTTATTTCACTAACAGAAACAAGTTTTGCAATTATTTGCAGAAATACTGGAATTCTGGATTAATTTGCCTTAATGTAGCTAATTCCTGATGACAATAAAGTATGTCTAATAAGACGTGTCAGTTAACATCCCAAGACGTTAAGAAAATATGTGTGGAAGATGACTACAAATGTCAACATTTCTAAACGTTTCCTTTTCAGTTTTTGCCTAAATGTTTGTGTAATTGCAATGAGTTCACTTTGCAGAAGATCCTTTTTCTGTATATGATAAAGATTGTTCCATTTCAGGGTCTCAAAAAAGTTGGCAAAATGTAGAGCTAACATAACTTACCATAGCAGTTTAACTAAAGCTTTTATAGTAGAGAAAATACAAGATGGAACATCTTCATCTGAGTCGGTTCCAGTGATTAAAACAAAATTGCATAAACATTTGCTGCAAAGCCTGTGGATTATTTATTTGCCCCTCCTGCTTAGGTTCTTTGATATCAAAGCAACATTTTATAAATCAACCAATGGAGAAAGGCGTGATTAGGGAGATTGATGATGTTTATAAGTACATTCAGAATTATTACTCAGATTTATTTATTTGACAAATGTTTGAGTTCCTACTGTGTGAGGAGAGAGCCCTGGTGGCACAGTGGTTGAGCACTCAGCAGCTAACCAAAAGGTCAGCGGTTTGAACCCAGCAGCCGCTCCATGGGAGAGAGATGTGGTAGTCTGCTTCCATAAAGATTACAGCCTTGGAAACCCTATGGGGCAGTTCTCTGTCCTACGGGATTCTGTGAGTCAGAATCGACTCGGTGGCAGTGGGTTACTGTGTGAGGCACTGTTCTGTGTGCAGTGGACAAAACAGATGTGTTATTTCTTGCAGTGTGCTTTTAGAAATTACATAATTAATTATGGATTTGTATCTGTGGAGAAGACTATTCTAAATATTTATTGAAAATTAAATTTCTCCCCTTGTCATTTTACTTAGCATAATTTTTTTCTGAAAATAGTTTTTTATTTTAAAATGAAGTTAAGAACACGTTTCATACCATGTTAGAGTAGTAATAGAATTTTTCTAATTAAAAAATCTCTATGAAATTTGTCCTTTGCATAATATTTAGAGTTGCTTTAACATAGCACTAAAAAAATATTATTTTGCACTGAAACATGTACAAAGTTTGAAAAAGATATATTAATAATTAAGTTTTTCCTTAGTTCTAAACAGCCATCTTAGAATATGCATAGTAAGTCAACCAAATTTTTAGAAGCTAATAACACAGCTGGAAGGTTTTGTATTTTTATTAATTATGTTGTACAGGTTCTTCAGACATCTTTTAGGAGCACCTCATTCATAATTTCTGATAAATACACACACAAACACACATACGTATATTGATATTTTATAATCTGATGACATTAAAAACTGAAATAAAATGAACATTCCAAAGGATAGTGGTAATGGTTATACAACATCATGAACATAATCAATGTCACTGAATTATACATATAAAAATTGTTGAATTGGCAAATGTTATATATGTTTTTACTGTAATTTTTTTAAAAATCAACATTCTAGAGGATTAAAATGTGAGTAATTACTTTAGGTAACTGCCTTGCCAGTAAAGTCAGTATAACTTTAGGACAGTAATTTCAGTTCATCACCTTAGCATAATATAAATTGATTAAAAACTGTTGCCCCAAAATGTATCTCAAATCTGGTTTTGTCACTAATTCTAAACATTTTTAAACTTTTAATTCAGTTCCCTGGTGTTTGGGCACGTATATGTCTCGATTTGATTTAAGTGTAATTGGTGGTGGATGGGTGGGCAAATCTTACTTTTGACTGGATTATTACATCAAAACCCCTCTCTGACTAGGGGAAAAATGGCCTTAAACCTGTCTGTCTAGGTATTTGAAATCTCATTTGCTTTCTGGGAAAATGGGGTAAAAAGAATTGCTAGACTACAGATTTCTCAAGTGATCTTTTGTTTAAGTCTAACCTCTCTTTGGTGGTCCTGCGGGCACGCTGGGGTCTCTGCTGAGTTGGTAATTCATTTCACACGTTTGCACCTTCTCTGCAGCCTCACTGAGAGGGCGCAACTGCTCAAGAACGTCTTTAAGAAGAACCACGTGAATTTGTACCGGTCTGAATCATTGCAACAAAACCTTCTCCGTAAGTATTTGAGTTCTCATTTTTGAATAAATTCTCTGCCATTACTTTATCATGGCATTTATCAGAGCAGTATTTTGGCTTCATGGGATATGAAACTATTGAAAATGAACACCCAGATCAAGTTTTGCACATTTGCAGTGTATTATATAAGTAACAAATGGTTACAGAACTCTTTGACCACTGCTATCTAACTTTTAACAAAAGAGATAGAGCATTTTAAAATCTTGCTGTTTTAAGTAAAGTAAAACAATATTTCCACATGCCCCGTGCTTCCTTACATCTTTGAAAGAACCGGTAAAATAAATCTTAACTTCTTAACTTTTAAAAGCTGCCTTTGTGTTGTTATCTTTTCTCCTTGAATAACTTTGCTGTAGCTTTCTCAGCTTCCCTGCAACACAATGAAACATGTATTTTCCCTTCAAAAATATTTATGAATATAGAGAGTAAGAAATTATTAGGTATCACCCCCTCTTAACAGTTCAAGGATCTAAAAGAAGAATATATAAAGCCCTATAGTAAATTTACTTGTGTTAGTAATATGTCTTTTGTTTCATGTTGTTTCCACATATAACTTATTTTGATTTATATACACTCGTGTTTAATGCTTTTGCTCTTTAAACTTCAAGAGGCCTTTTTTAAAGATGTGATCCAGAAACTACTGAAAGCCTTGGCTACTACTCCCCTTGGGGGTCTTTTCTGATTCACATGCACCACCCCCCCAACCATGTCGGGGCATTCATGGGTTTCTTGGTAGATGCTGAGAGCCAAGAAAAATGTCCAAATGGGAAGAAGACCATTTTCCACCCTTAACAGATAATACATGTTCATTTCCTCCCCCTCACTTTCATTTCTTCATCTCACTCTGCCTAATGCTTATGGAAATACATGTACCAGCTGGACTAAACCCACTCACCCTTCTCGAACGCGGGCAAGCAAAAATTAGATGGTCTGGACTTGATGCACTGAACAGAGAAATGAGGGGGATTGATGGTGCCCAAAGATGGAGCAGAATTTATAGATGTAAACAGTTCTTTGGGAACCTACTACTACTCCACTCCCCACTTCTATAATCGAGCCTGTGTCTATTCCAGACATTCAAAATTAATGTCTTCATGTTTTTGGGTGCGGGAAGGAGGCATTACTTCCCTAAGTTAGACAATGAATATTCAAAACTCAGAATAACAGAGATTTCCAGCCACTTCATGATGATAATTTCTATTTTGTCGTTAATTTACAGATGGGTACGCTTTCTCTCAAGATGAAAATGGAATCGTTTCACAGTCCGAAGTGATTAGAGCATATGATACCACAAAACAGAGGCCCGATGAATGGTGATAGGGAGTGGCTGAGAAGCAGGCTCTGCTACATCCCTAAGGCTAGCTTCCGGGTTTTCACTGGAATCTGCTGACCAAGTCAAGTCTGGTTCATGGAGGGCAAAGGTGGATCTGAGCTCATCTTGACTGATATTCAGATTCGTGTATATTATAGACATAAGCACTGTGCAACTCTACTGTAACACCATCTCTTTCAGATTTTTAACAGTATTTGCTAAGTCTTTGTGAACAGAAATTGAAAATGGCGTTGTGTCTTGCCAGAGTGCTTTCTCTTCTTAAGTTGAGGCTAGGTCAGTATTCTTACTCTGGGGCTGTAACTGACCATCAGTTTATTGGGCATACCATAAGGTAGGGAACCATTAAAAAAAAAAAAAAAACAAACTCAAATGGTATTAAGTGAAAGGGATGCTATCCAGACTTAGATTTCAGGATGTGGTGAAAAAAATAAATAAACCAGCATTCTTAAGGAAACTGACTCACTTTACTGAACAAAATTTCTAAGCAAGGCATTAACAAGTGTGTGTGTCAAAAATCGTCTTGATTCATGTTTGCCAAAGAAGCTTGAGAAGTGTATTTCTCATTCAGTAGTCATTTGCCCAGAAATTTAAAAGAAAGTTTACTTCCAGTTCTGCTGTGTGACCTGCATGCTTGACTTTTCAAATGTAAGAGTGATTTGCAAAAATGAGCATTTCAAGGCATTTGCTACTAAAATCTGTGATGTTGCACCTTTGGCCTTACAAATGCTTCTTTCTTGTTGTCTTGTTTATTTGTCAGAGTGAGATAGCACACGTGTTACTGTGACTCTGTCGTTTTGTTACAATACTGATTTTTAAAATTGTATTTAGGCCCCTTGGTCGTTTCTGATGAGGTTTCGTTGTCATGTAGGTTTTTCTAAAAATCTGGCTTCTGCTGTAGGTTGAGTTATGTCATTTTGTTTCAAGGTTTTCCCTCTTAAGAAAAATATGTTACATATTTATGTGGGATTTCCAAAGCTTCTGTGGAGGCGTTTGGAATAACACGTCAGATAAATGCATGGGCTTTTGTAATGTACATAGGCTCAGCTTTTGTAATGTGTTTTGGTTCTCCTTCTTTGTTCTCACTAGAAATGCCTGCTGTCTTATGTAGCCCACCCCATATTATAGTGACTGGCCCTATACTGAAGACTGAGAATTATTTCACAGTTCACTTGTCAAGCAGCTCCCAAAATTTGTCACCTGCTGCTAAATGGGACAAATAAGTAACGCATTTTCCCCATTTTAAAAACTCCCCTAATTTACTCAAGCCTGTAACTTTATCGTCAAATAGCATTTTTCATCATAAGTAAGTTTCATTAACATATTTTAAAACATATGTTTAGTTTGATTATTTTTGGCATCTCCAAGACATCTCCTGAAAAAGTCTATTTTGCTACCAACAATAAATGGTGAAGGGGCTGTTTAAAAAACCACAACCAGTTTTCTACACTGTTTTTAAAATACGGCTTTCATTTAAAAAGGAAACGGGGGGGTTCTAGTTTTCAGATACACTTAAGAGATCGATGCAAACTTTTTGCCTTTTATTCAAAAGCCTGTTTGCCTTTAAGTGGATTTACCAGCATACTAGGTAGTAGAACTTCCTCTTGAAATAAAGTCAACTAGAATTAAGAAGAGAGATGATTTTCCAAATCACCCCTTGAGACGAATAACTTCACCTTTTTTCTCAATCTAGATTTAGAATTAGGATATACATCATTTCCTTTACTGTATTTTCAGTTATTTAGTTACCAGTATGCCTCCCATGGTCAGCAATTTGAATCCACCAGCTGCTCCTTGGAAACTCTATGGGGCAGTTCTACTCTGTCCTGTAGGGTCACTATGAGTTGGAATCAACTCGACGGCAATGGGTTTGGTTTTTTTTTAGTTTATGCTTCCCGCAAAAGGAGCCCTGGTGGCACAGTGGTTAAGTGCTCAGTTGCTAACCGAAAGTTGGCGGTTTGAACCCAGCAGCCACTCTGCAGGAGAGAGATGTGGCAGTCTGCTTGCATAAGGATTACAGCCTTAGAAACCCTACGGGGCAGTTCTAGTCTGTCCTATAGGATCCCTATAAGTTGAAATTGACTCGACAGCTATGGATTTATGCCTCCCACATTTTCTACAAAAAAGAGAAGTTATAACACACCTATGATACTAACCTAAAGGGAGCAAGGGGATTATATACTAACTTCTCAGGCCCTTCCCATTTGGGGTTCAGATTAAGAAAATCACGAATCAAAATCTCTAGCAAAACCACGGTGTAAGAATCCAAGGCCATCTTCAGAATTCTGAAGTCACAGACTTTAACTCTCTACCAAATGGATATTCAGAGCAGCTTTTCCTGCACTTCCCAGGGGCAATAGTTGAGGTCAACCATAGAAATCAAAAAGCAAGAACGAAGTGCATCCCTCCAGAAAGACACTTCACAGCAGTTACAGACAAAAGCTGCCTCCATTTGCCCTCACCTCATCTGTAGCCTCCTTCTCCAAAATTTTACGTCAAAATGCTGTGACTCTAGTGAGACTGCATTTTCTGACTTAAACAAGAAAACTAAAAATATTATTTTTATCTTAAAACGGGTTGTTTCTATGGAGCTCTTCAACATGAGTGGAATAGTCATGGTTAATAATGTATAAGATCATGACATGAAATGTAGCTAATTTATGCCTTTTTGTCCCATGGTCCTCCTTTTAAATTATCAACGTTAAGTCAATCTCTTTGCTTCTTAGGAGGAGGCCGGAGGAGTAAAACCTATAACCTTGCAGTTGTGGTGACTTTATAGTGTTAATTTACATGAGAGAGAACCTTCTGAAGTTTTAGCCTTCCTAAAATAAACAGTTGAAGTGAGTTTTAATGCGTATTTTCTAAAATAAAGGACACCCACCCACTGCCATCAAGTCGATTCTGACTCATAGTTACCCTATAGGACAGAATAGAACTGCTTAGGGTTTCTAAGGTTGTAATCTTTACAGAAGCAGACTGCCACATCTTTCTCCCTCGGAGAGGCTGATGGGTTCAAACCACCAACCTTTTGGTTCTCAGCTGAACACTTTAACCACTATACCACCAGTGCCCCATAATAAAGGACAAGCACTCTTCAATTAAAAAGTCCCTTGTAGGGACTCTGGCAAATGCTAATGCCATTGCTTTACAATGTTTACAATTCAGAAAATATCACTTATTGTAGAAAACACTCATTCACTTAGCACTGAAAAGCTGGGAGTTGCTCCTTTCATATTGAGTAGTACACAGTCGCACTGAGCATGGACTTTCTAAATGTTCTATATGTAGATATAAAAATATATTGGTGTCTCACACCCAGAAAGATGCTATATGGTAGAAATTATGAGCAGGAAAATAGTGTTTCTCAGGAAGGTAGTGAATTTTGAAATGATATACGTGCATCCCACCCTCGCACCCCCACTCTGCTCTCTAATGTGAAACTGCTTCAGCAGTGTTGCTAACTTAACGGACGACTTTTTCTAATCAAGCCAGGTGTACTTGTGTTCTGATAAATGATGTTAGCCATTATGTGAATCGTGTGGTCATTAAATGGAATCAGTGATTCCTGTTAATTTCCAGGGAAAGAACTGAATTAGAGAAATCAATCAGCATTGATTCTGATCATTAAATGTTATATTTTGGTTTCGCAATTCAGCATTCTAAATGTCCAATATGAAAGCCACAGGGTAATTTTTTCTGCATTGTGTGCAATGTTTTGTTTTTTCCAGGAAGTAAATGATAGTCAACAATTAATCAATTGTACATTCATAATTTTTAATTTATTTATAACAATGTCATAATTATTACAAAGCTAAATAATCATTAGTGCTTATTTTTGTGCAGTTGCCCTTTGGTAGCTCCTGGTTTTAAGACTTATTTCATCAAATAAATCTATAATCTGATAAATAACATCTACAAAATTTATCAAGCAAACGCCCACCCCATTCACATCACATGAACCAGGTCTTGTGGATTTCTTTTTGTAAATTACTTAATGTAACACCATGCGGTTTGGTGCCTAATAAATGCTTTTTAATGATGGGCATTTCTATAATGCCTATTAAAGATATCGTAGTCTGATTTTTCTCACATTAAAATAATGTCACTTGTGAAACTTATGCTGTGCTGCATTGTAATTAACCTTCAACAGCTATTAAAATGGACGGCAAGTTAAATTTTGAAGGAAAGGAAATGAATATTTTCCATTTTTAGTCTTGATTTATTTTCTGTATGTGAGCAGCTGTGTTTTTGATGGGTTTATGGTTTGCATGAATTAATATTTAAAAATGATCTAGGCCAATGCATGGCTATTGCTGTAAATCTTGAAATTTATTTCTGCCTTATACATTCTATCATGGCCTACCTGAAATTTAATATTCAGTGGAAAAATTAATTGGTCTTCTGTACAACTTTTTTCGCATAAGTAAATTATTTTACAAACAAATTTGAACAAATTTAATTGAATCTTTTGTTTAGCTTGCCTCTAAAAACTGTTTCTTAATAAGGCTCACAAAACTCTGCAAATAAATCTCCCTTAAAGAGGAAAAAACTAGATTTCATAAGTGCTTACTTTGAATTAACAGCAACTTTCCATAGGTAAATCTGCTCTTGGAAAGATGAGCAGAATATTTAAAAAATAATAAATATTTTTTACATTTCATGGTTCTAGAATTAGAAGCCATACCTGTGGTAAATACTGTTTAACTACTTCAAGCTTCATTTTTCACATATTCAAGTGTATTAGGTTAAAAAAAAGAGAAGAAAAAAGGCAGCCTCAGAAAGCAGCTACTATGAAAAACTGAAGTTTGCATTAAAGATGAAGTAGTATTTTCAGCTCCATGAGAAACTATTCCTTATGAAACTGCTGTAGAATTTGTGAAGCCGCATGGGCGAAGAGTTTTGAATCTGTGATTATAGTAGTTTCTCAGGTTTATCTCGATGTTCAATGCACTGTGTTTTATAAATAGTTATTAAAGTTGAGTAACATTCAGTTCTATGCAGTGTTACGTATCACTGGCTTTTTGTGAATGTGCATGTTTTAAACTTGCAAATTTTAAACACTTTGTCCTTTAATTGTTATTAAACATGAAATAAACTTTACCATTACATAAAGAACATTGTTGAAGTCGTGATTGGTAGCAAACAAATGTTGCTTTATAAAACCGTCAAAACCCTGATGACTGCAGTCTGAGAAGGTGACAAGTCTGTCTATTTAAGAGCTTTTTGTCACCATATTTTGTTTACAACTCCAGTGATTTATAAAATATCCTCCCATTTCACTCTAGCTAAATAAAATATGAAACAGGGCATATTAACTCTAGTTTGGGAAGAGGGATCGTTTTGGTAATTAAGGATCAAAAAAGAAATTTTTTATAAGATCAC